TTTAAAAAATCATTTTGTTTAAGTGATTATTAAAGAAACAAATATATATTTTTTCACATTTTGACATCAGATACATCAGACACCCTCAAGCAGGTGACCCAGTTAGGTATCCAGGTAACCTGCTGTCCTCTGCAGATCCACTGCCACCTGCAGGATACTTCTGCTGCTTACTGGGCCTTGAGATGCCTAAAACCAGGGGTGTCAAACTCCAGGCCTCGAGGGCTGGTGTCGTGCAGGTTTTAGATCTCACCCAGGGTCAACACACCTGAATCAAATGATTAGTTCATTAACAGGCTTCTGGAGAACTTCAAGACATGTTGAGGAGGTAATCTAGCCATTTATATCAGCTTTCTTGGATCAAGGACACATCTAAAACTGCCAGGCTTAAAACAGAATGGCCTGCAATATTGGGGGCCCTGGGTTGCTGACCCAGTGCTTTGTGTTTGATTATAATTTTAAATCCTTGTTATTCATGGTTTTAGTTCTTTTGAGGTTATTTTTGTTTTTCTAGTTTCAGTCAATGTGCCTTACCTGTATCCGTGTTACTACTCTGTGCTGTTTCTCCTGTCCCATGGTTCATCCTTCTGTTTAGTATCAAGTCTGTACGTCTGTGCCTGTCGTCCTGTTTTATTTTGGTAGTCTGTGTCCTATGTTAACGTGTCGGGTTTTGCTTTCCTTGTCTCGTTAGCCCTGATTTGTCGTAGCTTTATTTCCTTCCTGTCTCCTATTCCCTGATCGCTCCTTTTGTGTGTTTAAACCCTGTGTTTTTTGTGGTCTGTGTTGTGATCTCCCTTGTTCTGTACTGTGTGCTCTGTCTGCCAAGCCTGTTTAGTTTATTTGTAGTTTCAGTTTAGTTAGTTTTTGTATCTAGCAATAAAGCTGTTTTTGAGTGCATCTTTGCCTGCTGTGAGTCTGCACTTTAGATCCACCATTCTTGCCTGCACACAGCCTTCACTTGACATGCAAACCCTCTGCATATGACGTTACGGGCCAAGACCTTGCTCAAAATCCCACACTTTGGTAATGCATTCATCTCCTATCTCTGTGTACTTTATTGTCCTTTTAAAACATTGTATGGGGGTGTATTACATCAAGTTTTTTTTAAAGAACAGTAAATTGAGATCAAATGTTGGAGATATTTTGTAGATGTCTTTACTTTATCCTTGATTTGATAATGATGAATACTTCCCCTGTGGGGAAATTCCTCCCTGCATTTAATCCATTCACAATCTAGCGCCCAGCAATGTGTATGGATGGTACCTTGCTCAGGGTGGCCTTTCATTGAACCGTTCGAATTCCCGACCATGGGGCCACCACTCTACCTATTGAGCTATCCCTGCCTCCCCTATTTACCTGCAATAGCTCAAGAACTGTTTCAGCCAAAATCTGTATTTTTTTTGTTAAACAAAAAGAAAAAAACTGATTTAAAAAAAGCAACAAAAAAACCATTAGAATTTCTGTTAAACAGCGTTTGAATTGATAGTTAAACAGTGCAGTGGACGGAGAGTTACAAGAGAAATGTTAACATAACAGAGATGCTTGGAGTCTAACAGCTGTCATTAATCAGGGAGGTTTATCATGTGTCTGTGGCTAACAAAGCTTTAGCATACAATGAGCCTTTGTGTAAGTCACTCTACACAGTGACTCACACAGACACACCTGTGTGACCTCTGCTCCATCCTACCTGCCTACGCATACGCAGGCGATAAAACCATATTATACAAAAAGTTGTACTGTGGCATAAAGACAAAAGTAAGAGCTTCATTCAGTTTCACTGGAGTCAATACGGTACACAGACAGCTTTCAGAAAGGCATGTTTGTTGTGAGGTAAACTTCACATTTAACGCTTTGCAACTTCAAACCCCCTCTATCTGGAATCCTTAAAACCAAACTTAAATAAATATTTATCCTAAAAAAGAGTGGTAGTTTTCACATCTGAGTAAGTAGTACTATGTACTTAATGAATCTTTACTTATATGCTGTATACCACATATTTGGACTGTAATTAGTGATTACAGGACGTTATTTAAATATAGTAAATGTAGTTAATGTAGTTAATGTAGTTAATGTACTGAATGTACCGTCCACTACTGAATCTGCACACCAGAGAAAGTAAAATAACCACGTTATCAGCAAAGGTTACTAAAGGTCAATTACATTGGTAGTTGCCTCAAAGCACTTTATATTGCAAGGTAACGACCCTACAATAATACAGAGAAATCCCCAACAATCACACAAGCCCCTATGATGAAGTACTTGCAACAGTGGGAGGGAAAAACTCCCATTTAACAGGAAGAAACCTCCGGCAGGACCAGGCTCCGAGAGGGGCGGCCATCTGGTCTGACCAGTTGGGAGTGAGGGGAGGAAGATAGGACATTGGACACAATGTGTAGGAGAGCCAGCGATTAAGAATACCTAATGATAGGGAGTGAAAAGAGGTGAATGTGCTTTGTCAAAATGACAAGTTTTAAGGCAAATTTTAAAAGTAGAGAGGGTGTCTGTCTTCTGAATCCAAACTGGGAGCTGGTTCCATAGAAGATGGGCCTGAAAGCTGAAGATTCTTCCATCCATTCTGCATTTAAATATCCTAGGAGGTACCTACAAGTGCTCTGCTGTTTATCTTTTGTACAATGCTCAGTGACCACCAGCTAACCTACTGCTTCTGCATAAAGAGAGGCTGATATGTACAATATGTGTTCTGCACAGCCTCCCCTAGCACTGCACCCTAAACCACCTACCCTTTCTCTCCTCCCACAGCTGAGCTGAGCCAAGAACCACATCCCGTACCCACAAACTGGCTTTTTATTAAAAGAGATTTTGCACGTTTGTACAGAAAAAAGAAACAAAGATAGAGGAAACAAACAGTCATGCATTTGCTGTGGAAAGCTGCTGGGAATAGGAGTTATTGTTCCTGTGTATTCCCAGTACAATACAGAATGACCACACTACCAAAATGTGCAAACTCAAAGTTAAGACACGTTAAAACATGATTCACTTTCCAGCACACCAACCACACCCATTCTGGATAGATACCAATTAAAATACTCATTTAAAGGTCTACTTAATCCGCAGCTAGCTGTACCATGAACGTTTTCTTTAACATATCTTTATTTTTTTTCATACCTACGATAAAGATAATGGCAATCCCACAAAAGTACTACTGATTCGTCACTTCTCTGGGAAATATTGTAACCATTCCCAGAAAGCCCCTCTGACATCAGGGTGTGAACAGGATAAAGGTTTAAAGTTCGTGGAGGTTGTCTAAACTCGTTTTCATTCTCAATGAAATGAGCATAATTAAGAAATATATTTAGATGTTTTCTCCTTCTTCTTCTGGCCACAAGCAATTTAAAGCTATTTTATCATTCTTCATGTCTTGATAGTAATATAACAGTAAAACAGGGAAACTTAACCTTTTACTTGTTGTCACTGAATATAATTTACAAGTACCCACACTTACTGGTTTAAGCTACAAATTTATATTTGTATTTCATTTGAATGTGCTTTCTATCTTACATTCCCACACATTTGCACACCGATTAACTCATCAAGAGTAACTCAAGGCTCAGTATCTTTCCCAAGGATACTTTGGTACACAGACTGGAGCAGCCACAGATTGGAGCATCAACCTCCAGATTAGTAGATGACTTGTTTTGGCTGTAGCATTATAGTTTGCCCTTATTTTATAAAATACTCTCTTGTGCTGCCAGTTCACCTAGTCCATATTTGTGATTAGTAACACCTTCCCTCTCACATGAATGTGCTCATAACTGGAATGGGTAAGCCTGACTTTATGACCACCAGCTCGTGATTGCTTAGCCTGAATGATGTAAGCGTACAAGTGAAAAAAGATAAGGAAAAGATATTGTGAAATATCCTGGATAGTGGTAAGAGCCATGGGTCCTACTCACATTCTTCCCATATTAGCTTGTTGAAATTAAGCTGCATTAAGCATGAATTTTTTTTTCAATCGGGACAAAAGACTGGTTATTGCGTCCTGTCTGATTCCCAGTGTTTCTATGCTGCAGATGGAGATTTTCAAGGATAATTGTGATACTAAAATATTGTGAAATAACATTGTATTCTCCACCAAGCTGAAAATCTACCTCGCAGTGTATATAAGACTAAACCAGGGTTGTCAGACTCTTTTTACATCGTTGGCCTTATACAGCCCACTTTGATCTTAGTGGGCCAGACCAGTAAAAGTGTCCTTTCTGTTACTGTACAGAAGTTTATTTCCACATTTAATCCTGGCGATAATCCTGTTAATCCTGTTGGCGATCCTAATATAAGAAAAAGGTGCAATTAAATCTGTATGTTGTTTTGTACTTGACAAAGAAATGCTGCAGCACTAAATGAAAGAAAT